TAAAAAATGACACTTATTGGTTAATAGAATTCGAAGAATTATAAATATTACAGTGTCGTCAGAAGATAGCGAAGCATTGAAAGCCGAAAAAACAATAAACTTGAAATCACGTTGGACTGCAACTGCGTTTTTCTCCGCATTCTTCTTAATTTGTCTATTACGCATGTCAAGGTCTTTACAATTAGCATATCAGTAGTGATAATCAACGCCGTTATTCGGTTTAAGAGCCAGATAAACCATTGTGGTGGCAGGTGCTACTGGATAGCTGCATTCTTTCTGGTTAGTAGTTAAAAATTAAGAAAGGTTACATTTGAATCTTAGAAAATTCTATCATGCCGTCTAGACCACGTGCGTATAAGATAAGGTGCTTTTCGGGATGAAAATTTTAATTCTTCTACCTTTTCACAATATATTTGAGCTAAATATCTCATGTATAATTAATTTAAATTTCTGAGCTTGGTTTTAAGCCATCATCAACTGACGTGTTTATTACATATTAGAAGTGACTAGAACAGACCTATGATTGTACTCGTAGTGAATCCAAAACATTATTATAGTTATTTGTAACTAGTCTAAATTTTTGAACAGATCTAACGAAGTAGTCGAACACATTTAACATTTCACCAGTAATGTTTTGTAAATATACCAAGTGGAATATCTTTTTAGGTCTTCTGTTCTTTCTATCTATTAACTCCTTGACCTCTACTAGGTTATTGATACTGTTACGTATCTGTTTGTTTCCGGTAGAAATTCTTTCCGAGGATCTTCAGCGATACAAGTCCTTTCTTGATTAAACCAGCTTATTCTTCCTCAACACAAACTTTTAGTACACAGAAGTTCCACAATCAGTACGTTTCTCGTCACTTTAAACGTAACAACTTTTATAATAAATCACAGCGATTCACAATCTATCTCCGCTGGTTTTTTTCTGCCAGGCTTATATACTAACGAAGAGGCATCCCCAACATTCGCGGACTTTCCCAATAATTCGAGAAACATCTCACGCACGCCACCAGCGTCACGTGACTTCAGCTGTCGTAACACTGCCCCTTCCTTAGTATTGTTCGTCCCGAACAATAGCCATTTACATTAAACCAATAGATAATTAACAGTAACTTAATTAAATGTACAGAATTTACAAACACAAAATTAAAATACAACAAAGTCTCTTAATTTTACAGGTCTCCATCTCATTGGCTTCTGCTTCACGTGGGATTCATCTGCTCCAT